AGGTTTTACCGTGCATTAGATAGAGGTGGAGAGGTTAAGGCTATCGCACTTGACATTTCTAAAGCTTTTGATAAAGTTTGGCATGCTGGTCTTCTCCATAAGCTTTCTTCTTATGGTGTAGCTGGTAACGTCTTTAAGATTATTGAGTCCTTTCTTTCCAATCGTAGTATAAAAGTTGTCCTCGATGGACAACACTCTTCTTCACATCCTGTAACTTCAGGGGTTCCTCAAGGTTCAATCCTTGGCCCTATACTCTTTTTAATTTACATTAACAATCTTCCAGATATTCTCACATCTAAGGTGGCATTATTCGCCGACGACACTACCATTTACTCTTGTCATGATAAGAAGCCTACACTCTCTGATTGCTTGGAGGGGGTATCTGAGCTTGAAAAGGATCTCACTTCTGCTACAGCATGGGGCTCACAGTGGCTGGTGAACTTTAATTCAGATAAAACTCAATTTTATTCGGCCAATCGTTATCGTAATAATTTAGATCTTCCTATATTTATGAATGGTAATGTACTAGATGAGTCATCTACCATTCATCTTCTAGGATTAACTCTTACTTCTGATCTTTCTTTTAAACCGTATATCAAATCCATTGCAAAATTAGCATCTGCTAAGGTTGCATCTCTTTATCGAGCTTGACACTTTCTTACTCCAGATTCTATTCCCTATCTCTATAAATCTCAAATCCGTCCCTGTATGGAATACTGTTGCCACATCTGGGGCGGATCTTCTAATGATGCTCTTTCTCTTTTAGACAAGGTGCAAAAACGAATTGTAAACATAGTTGGACCTGCTCTGGCAGCCAATCTCCAACCTTTGTCACATCGTCGTAATGTTGCTTCTCTTTCTCTTTTCTACAAATACTATAATAGGCACTGCTCTAAAGAGCTAGCGTCCCTTGTGCCATCTACTAAAATTCATTCTCGTGTTACTCGCCATTCAATTAAGTCTCATCCTTTTTCTGTGACTGTTCCTAAGTGCTTCAAAAATTCTTATTCTTCTAGTTTTTTTCCTCGAACATCAGTTCTTTGGAATTCGCTTCCTTCACCTTGCTTTCCTGATTCATATAATTTGCAATCTTTTAAGTCATCAGTCAATCGTTATCTTGCTCTACAGATTTAGTCTTTTCTCTTCCAGTAACTTCCAACTCTTATAGTGGTTGCTTGCAGCCTTGTTGGAAGTGAAGATGTTAAAAAAAAACAAAAAAAAAAAAAAACAAAGACTTACAAAAATAATTGTGTTTTCAATGAAGTTATAATCGTTAAAGTTAATAAGACTAATTATGTAACAAACATATAAGAAGTTTCTGGTTACTAAACACAAACAACGCATACAAAGTAACTCGCAGATGAACAAGCATCGCGCCTGAGGTCGCAACAGAACACAAATATATATAGCAAATAATTAGATATAAAGAAAAATTTCTAGATATTGGTTTACTAACTCTAATTATTTTCGCTTAAGTTGCCATTCTTAAAACTCGTTATACTTTTTTCTGCTTTAAATACTAATTAAAATTTAAAAGCCCACTCACTAAACATCATCAGCGATATTGTAAAGCAGTTTCGCTTCCTGGTCATTAACTATTTTTAACCTTTTTAGTTGATTTTTATCTAGATAAAAATCATTCTTATAGTAATTCAATGATTTAATTATTTCATTTGTTTATCTTACTAAGATGAATCGCTTTAAATATGTTAAACTTTTCAAACTACGCGAAACATAAAATAGGTATTAAAAAAATTAACTTTTTTATTTATAAAATAAATTAAGCTTAAGTAAAACTAAAACTTGCAAACTTAGTTAAATAAAGAATATTTGTTTCCTTTTTAAACAATCGTTTAAGTTGACGGTTGTATGTTTCTATAAAAAGTTGATGTTTCTATAAAAAACATGGCTTAATTTTAAAAAAAAATTATAAAAGAGCGATGTTTCGAAAATATTTGTTCTAAATGTAATTTATTTAGCTTTAAATTTTTTCGCATTTAAAGATATTTTATTTGCCTATATTTTTTTTTTTTTGTAATTGTCTCTCATCGGTCCAATTAATCTTTGTCGCTTTTTTTTTTTTGCTTTTTAAAATGTTCTCAAAACGACTAAAAAATCTGACCAGCTTTTCGCAACTAAATATTATTTATGTGGTCAGCAATCGAGAGCGATCGCTCCCGCTTCCCGACCAAGCCTGCACATTTCTTCTAATTTTTATATTTGAAAAATTCCTTCATTACTCTTCTTTTTTGTGAAACTTTTTTTATAAGTTTCACAAAATTTTTTATTTGAAAAATTTAAAAATCGCACTGAAATAGCTATAAGCAAGAGAGCAATTAATAATGAGAAAATACTTTAGTAATTAAAACTTGAATGAATGAGTTTGAAATTTTGAAAATTGCTTTTGTGACACTTATTTCAAATTTTTACAACTGTTTATAAAGAAAAATCTAATTTAACTTTAATTAAGCACTTTTAAACACTACTAATGCTCTTTAGTTATATTTTTTAAAGTTTTGACATTTTTTTGAAATTCAAAAAATTTTGTAAAAATCTTTAATTACAAACTTTTTTACCTTTAAAGACCCTCACAAAATGTAACAATGAATAAACATTTTTTTACTTTTTTTTTTATTATTGTATAATTACATAATACTTATTTATGCAATTTTTTATTTTAATTATGTTATGTCTTTTACTTTTTTTTTAAGTAAAATACAACTTAACAAAATAACATTAAATTTTGCTGTTTAAAAAAAAGACTTGTGGACACAGATGCAGGCGATCACCTGCCATTCCTGCCAAGACCTCTCTCTATATATAAATTATTTTAAACTACATATTTTTTACAACTATAAGTTTTATGCTAAATGTAATTTTTTTATTGTGTAGAAATAATTTTTAATTATTTATTATTATTTACTTCATATATATATATATATATATATATATATATATATATATATATATATATATATATATATATATATATATATATATATATATATATATATATATATATATATGTATATATATACATACACATATATATAAGGGTGCATCAAATACCCCGTACTTTCAAAAATTGATTTGTCCCTATTCTTAAAACTTTTTATTGGTTCTCACAAGAAACTGTTGAATTTTTTAAAAGTTAAATAATATTTAGGGGGACCACCTGTCTGACCACAAGTCTGAAATTTGCAGTGAGACCCATAACAGGAAAAAAAAAAGTTTTTCAAATGTATTTTTTATTATTTTAATTATTATTTAGGTCTCAAAAGAAGTAAAATTTTATAAAAATTTCAAAAATAGTAATTCTTTTTTGTTAAAAACACCTTTTTCTACAAAAAACCATTTTTTTTGCAGAAAAAGGTGTTTTGTTTTATAGAAAATTTTCTACAAAAACCATTTTTTTATGGTTTTTGTAGAAAATTTTCTACAAAAACGATTAAAAAATGGGATTTTTAATTTTTATGCAATAAAACTTAAAATAATAAATTCATATATAAAGTATTATTTTTGAAATAAAATTTCACCTCTTTTGAGACTTAACATGACATACATTTGAAAAACTTTTATTTTCCTGTTTAGGGTCCCATTGCAAGTTTCAGACTTAAGGTGGCCCCCCAAAATCTCATTTAATCTTGAAAAAATTTAACAGAGTTGATTGTAAGAACTAATAGAAAGTTTTAAGAATAGAGACAGATCAATTTTTGAAAGTATGGGGTGGTGGATGCACCCTAGTATACATATGTATCAAGATACACACATATAAATAAATACAAACATGTAGATTAAATATTAATTTTTTTTTTAAATCAATAACTAAAATTTAAGGAAACTTACATTTTTTGTCTTCAACACAATGGGTGGTGTTTTGAATATATGATTACTAAAATTAAATTACATGTATTACATTATTAATGTGACAGTTAAAATTAATATCTTGTTAACAAATTGTGATAATTAAAGATAAATAATGAAATAGTATAGCAATTAAACAAAATTGACATATGCATATCATTTTGTAATAGTTATGCAAATCATTTTATTATAAATATGCATACTATTTTAACTAATTAGCATGATGCTGCAAATGCTTACATGAGTGTATTTGAAGAGTTTTTTGTAATTTTTTAACTATACAAAATGCTGAATAAAGAACTCAATGATGTCAAAAGGACAATCCTCATTAAATGGGCGACCACTAGCTTTAACCTTTTTCAGAACTTTGAAATGTTTGAGTGGTGCAAGTGTTTCATAAAACAAAAAAACAAAAACAAAAAAAAAAAAACAACAACAATTCTTTATTACTTGTCTTGCTGTTTTGTAATGATGAAATTTGTTATGATAATTACAAAATTGTTATTTATGTCATTTGAAAAAACAACATTTGGAAACAATTTTTAAACAGATTGTAAATGTATTTTAAGTCAATTAGAATGCTTAATTCAAATTCACATTAATAAAATATAGAGTATGTTACAATTAAATTGTAAAACACATGTTTTGATTTAATTAAAATATGATAACACTATACATTTTTATAATTCCTTTAATAAAAACAATAACTTGTTCTAAAATAGATTTAATATATTTTTCCTTCACTCATAGACAGGATATTTAAACCGTTATACCCAAAAAAAATTTAAATATGTCACTGATGTGATTAAAGACTTAATTATCGTCAATGATCAAATTTGTTGTACATTCTTTTAAAATTTAAATTCTTTGGCAAAAAGTTTAATCGTGCTTTTTTAATTATTTCATGCAAATTTTTCCCTAATTATTTAATGTTGTCTAATGCAATATACAAAAAAAAAAAAAAAAAAAAAACCTAAAAACTGAACTAAACCAAAAATTTGAGTGTTAAGAAATGTGTAGAAACTGATAAGACCTCTAACTTTTTATCAACCATTAAAATAAACCCAAATGATAAAAGTTAAATGTGTGTTTAAACTTCTCATATAAATGTTGTTTGTTTTTATAAAATTATAAAAACAGACAACAACAAAAAGATAAACAAGTGAAAATTTTTTTTTTATTTAAACAATAAAATTAAAAAAAAATTATCGATTCTTACTTCTGTATCCCTCTCAAAATTTCGGCATCCTTTAAATAAAAAATAGTGAGATTTTATTTCATCTTATATAAATATACAGATGATGACAAAATATTTAAAAAATCCTTTATGAATTTAAATGATTTTTAAATATAAATGTTTAGCTGTTACATAAAACATTCTCATTAATATATAGTTTGGTATAACATTTTATGATTTTAAACATGCTGATTTATTTAATACATATTTAATACATAATTATTTCATAAATGATTACATACTTAATAGAGGGTAAAATATCTTAAAAATGCAATCAGTTACAAAATCAGGATATCAATAAAAAAAGGGCAATATATAAAAACAAGATAAAAGGGTAGATATAAAGAGCCTTTTTGATTGAAGATGTTATTTTATTTTTCCAACAATATGCAAACTTTACCAAATAGATTTTTACCTTCAACTTATTGGCTCTGCACAAATATAATTGGTCTTTTTTAAAAAAAATGCAATATATTATATATTGTACCTATACATATAAAATATTTTTTTTATATGTATAGGTGCAATATATGATATAGTGATATTTAAATATTATGAGTCAGTAGCTTGCAATCTCATTGGAAGTAAATTAGAGTTTAAAAATATATAAATATATGCCAACATTTAATAAGTAGTAAATGTAAGCATAAAATTATAATATATAAAATATAAAAAAAAATTTTCTAGCTGGGGCCGGGTTTGCAGAAAGCCTGGGAAAGGGCCGGGGCCTTGGTCACTTACTAAAAATGACCCAAATGCCACCTAGTTGCTTTCCCTAGATGCTTTTTTTGAACTTCTTGCAATACATTAGATGTCATTATATTTCCATTTCTATGTAAGTTGATGGCTCATAAACTTCTCCATAGGTTGGGAATGTTATTTTCTACTTCAACAATATCTTCAACTTTTGAAAAAACTTTACAAAAACAATCATTAAATAAAAATTGCTTACTAGTTCTCGACCAACTGGGCTTACTAAAGGTGATTTATCTTGCTGAAACTTTTTAAGCTAAAATTAGAAAAAAAGTTGAGATGAAATTATTTGATTGTTATAAATAATTTATACATTAACATGCTTGTTTCTATCTTACTTTGATTTTAAGTTAAAAAAAACAAACAAATAAAATATGTTAGTGTAATAAATCCTGCAAAGAATTCATTTAGAATTCATTAATTATAATCTAACACTTTATTCTGTTTCAAATTTTAGCAAAAGGTTTTGCTTGTTTTAGTAATATTGATTTTTATCAGTTTTAGTAATATCGTTTTAGCAATAATCAAAACTAATAGCACAAATAGTACGCTGTAAAAAAATAAATAACTTTAACAAAAAACCAAAACACTTATCTAAAAAAATTTAGTATGAAATAATATCTAGAACTTTAATTTAAATTTCGATTTTTTATTTTATATTATAATTTTTTTAATATATCAAATTTGTTTGGAATTAAACTAAACTTTACATTTAGTTTATTATTAAATGTAAAAAAAAGGATTGTACAATTTATAATAAATCTATACAAAATATATAAGTTACTATCGGAAAAACTTTCTATATTTTATATGAGATGATAGATTTTTTTCGCATAGTAACTTATATACTAAACAAGAACATACAAACAGAGTTAAATATATGTCATATATTTAACTCTGTTGTAATATAATATGACAAATATAAAGTGAAAGAAAAAATAATTATCATAAGAAGTTTCTGATAATGAAGTGTCTGATTCTATAACCAAAATTGAATAATTCATAATAAAGTCAAAATTTTTATAAAATATATTTTTTACACCTTTTTCTTTGCAGAAGCAAGTTTTTGCTTCCTAGAAATATCTGACATATCTTTCACCATTGATGAAGTTGTTTTAAAACAATTTATAAAAAAATTCTAAATAAAAAAATTATTTTTCTCTTTTCCTCCGCAACTTCTGCGCCATTTTTAATAGACACGAATCTGAAAAATTCCCCCTTGTAAAAATGTTGAAATCGAAAGTGAATGCAACCATAACAGAACGCTATATAATGAAGTGTTTTAGCAAAACATTACAAAAAAGTTGCAAAAGCAAATTTATAACAAATGAAACTACAACATGTTATTTTATGCATGTATGCAGGAGTAGAAACAAGTTTTTTTGTTTCTTTTTTTGAAAATTGTGAAATTTTTTTTATCGTTTTAAGTTAATTTTATTAATTATTTTGTATAAATTAACATTAGAAATTAAAATAATGTTAATAAAAAAACGAATATTGATTGCGATATTGGTTTAATTAATCAAAATACTACTGCCAATACTACTAGTAGCTCTTTTACATTCAACTTTTATTGTTGTAAAAAATAATCTTCTATGTAAGACTTCTGGCTAATAGCTAGGGTATTAATTAGGCAAATTCTAATGATATACAGTATAAAAATAATATACTTAACATTAAAAGAATAAAAAAAATACTTTTTTTAAATAAATTTCCATTTACTAAATATGAATTTAGTTGTTTTAAGAGTTAAACCTGTTATTAAATGTAAAGAAATAAATTATTAAAAATAAGAGAGAAAATTAGTCAAAGACTCTAGCTAGCTATTGACTTTATTTCTAATAATTTCAAGCTTTAATAACTTATTAGCAATAATTTAAACTTATTGGCAGCTAATAAGTCTTAAGTAGCAAAAAGCGCTGGATCTGCCCCTGAAGCTATTAATTAGCTTTTTGGTGTTTAAGATAACTAACTTCCAGGCATGGAACAAATTCCAAACATTTATGTGTTTATACTTATGTTGAATAAGGATGTTTTGCAAATTATTGCGATAATTGAAGTAAAAAAAGGTTTAAAATTTTAGCCACAACTAACTAACAAAAAAGGTTTAAAATTTTAACCACAACTACCCCAAACATGAGAGCAACAAGTTGTCAAGATATTTTTTTTTGCTATTCTCAACTAAAGTTATATTCATTGATAAATTTTAAATTGCATAGTATAATCTCTCAGCGTTCAAAAATTTATGACCATATAAAATTTAAATCCCCCTCAACTTGAGGGGGTTATAAACATACAAATGTTTATATATAGTATAAACATATAAATGTTTGGTGTTTTGTTCCATGTCAGGATGGTAGCTATCTCAAACACCAAAAAATGCTGGATCCGCCTCTGAGCTTATAATTTAAAGTTTTCTACATTGAATTTCAATTGACAAACCCTAATATACTTTTTCATTTATTTATTTGATTCCAACAACAAGTAAAATACAAGGTTGATAGATAAATTTTATCTACCTAATGACACATGCTATAATAATTATCTTATTATATTTTAACTAAACTAATGATTTTTCTTTTTTTTCCATTCAATGAGCTTTTACACTTTTAGTAAATTTACTGATTATTTACAACAATCAATATTAAATATTTTAATAATAAGTTGATTTTTTATCATATTTTTGGAGTGCTTTTAAAAAATTTGTTTCAAAATAATGTGCTAACCATCTTTTTTTAACAATTGCAAATTTTTAAAGGAATTTTGAATGGTCAATATAATTTGGATCTATAAAAATGAAATTTAAATTAAAAAACTTTGGTTATTTACTGAAAAAGAATTCATTCAAGATTTTTAAAAGATGCAATTCAAATAAAAATCAACAAGCTGGTATGTTTTTCTGATTTTTTTGTTTATTTACTTTTTGCTCTAAAAAACAAAAAACAAACGTATAAAGAAATTTTCAATATATTTGATTTTTTTTTACAGTTCCCAATGAACAAAGCCTAAAGTTGCTAAATGGAATAAGAGTTTGTGATATGACTAGGTCATTTTTTTCATTTATATTAATCTTCATATATGAATTCATTGATATCAACAATCTCTATTTATTATAATTCTCTAATTGTTTTAGTATTTGTTATTTGTTAATTAGATAAAATTATACATTTTTTGCACTTGTACTGTTTATAATGTTGTATTGTTTTTTAAAATATGTTTTATCTTGAATCTAAATTTTTTGAATTTAAAATTTTTAATTAAAATAACGAATATTAAAACATTAAAATATTGAATGATATTTTGATTAGAAAAATCCATATGAAGTTTTTAAATAATTTAATTTCTCCATCAGTGGATTTGACTTTTTGTAAACTCCTAATAAAGTTTGAACCATCCTACCCCTGACCATTTGTCCATATACAAGATAATAGTGGTATTTTTTTACCTTTTTATTTTTAATCCTAGGATTCTATTGCTACTACCTAGATTACTTAGTTCTATTTTACCCAGTTTATTTTAAGTAATAAAACAGGATTTACATATTAAATTATTTATTGTTATGTATTAAAAGATTAATTATTGTTGACAAAAATTATTTATTAATTTGAATGATTTAAAGTAAATATTTTTTTCTAATTGTTTTTAAACAACCAGAGAAAGCTTAAATGTTTAAAATTTTCAAAAATAATTTTCTGGGAATTATTTTTGAAATCAAAATTTCAAGAATTTTGAAATAAAGTTCACCTTTAACAAAAAAATTTTGATTGTATATGACTTTGTTCTTTATTATATTGTCTACTATAATCAAGTTGTCAATATTGCTTGTTTGTTTGGTTTATCCATAATCAACAAAATTTACAAATTATTGACAAAGAGCAGCACACCAGGCCACTCTGTAATGAAAATATAGTTTTTAGATTTCTGATAAAGTTGAGAGGCTTGAGCAAAGAAAGTTCATATTTAAAATTGTTCAGGTTCTTTGAGTCCACCTATTTTGGGTAGAAGCATTCCATGGTTTGACAACACAGTGAGGAAGTTGTTTCTTTCTGCACAGTTTTATGCAAGTTGTGCTTTCATTTGTTTTTTGTGTCCATGTGGTCGGAGACTGTACTTTAAAGACTCTGTGTTTGGTTGAAGCTGAGGAACTAAGAAGTTAACTTTGTCGATTTTGCTGATGATTTTGTATTGCCTAATAAGGTTTCCTCCTTATTGTCATTCAGTTAGCTGTGTCAAGTTAATTCTTGATAGTCTCTGAATATAAGGCAAGTGTTTTAAATTGGAAGAATGTTTTGTGGCTTGGTGATGAACTTGTTCAGGTTTGACTATTTCTTGAGCTGGAACACCCTGCTTTTGTCTAAACTTGGACCTGTATTTAAAATTAAAATCTATTTTGCTTCCAGTTGTGGATTAAAGATTGTCTACTAAATGATTTTTTAACTGCCGTACTTGTTGATGAAAGCAATAAAATTTAACTAGCAGTATTGGACAGTATTGGAACACATGAACAACATAGTAATATGAATAACAATACAACAAGATCGAAAATACCTATTACAGACTAACAAAATTGAATCTTCAAAATCTACCTTGTGACTGTCCATTAATTATGTCAACAATTTTTTGGTAATTTTTACCTCCCCACCCCCTTGTCAACAATTTTTCAAAAATCCAGAGCCCGCTTCCCCCCTCTCCTATAAAATTATGTCAACATTTGACTAATCTTCTTCCCTTCCCCCTCCCTAACCTTATTAAGAAAATAAAACAGAAGAAAACGTACTCTTTTTTTCAATAATGTAATTTATTTTATAAAGTAACATTATTAACGACAACTTTTCTTGACTTCAAACACCCCCCTTCCCCTTGTCAACATTTGTCAAAAGTTTTCAGACTTTTTCCCCCTGTTTTATTAAAATAACTAATGGGCATACCTTAACTATGTTTAAAATTTAATACAGTAGTATTATAAAAGAGGAACTTTACAAAACACATTTTTTCTTATATTTCGTAGTGTTTTTTTTAACATTGATGTGTAAATAGTTATAGCTGATATATAGGTTAATACATACTATATTAAACAAAAAGCATGTATATTTTAAAGTTTATTTGAGATGTTTCAAGGTTCATTAACATCTAAAATTCAAAGAATACTAAAAAAAAAACAAAAAAGAAACATAAAAAACATGTTTTTAGAAATGCTTTGTTTTTTTTGCAAAAAAAAAATGTTTAAAAAAAATGCATTAATTTTTTTTTTGCAACTCTAATGGTGTCAAATAAGGTTTAATATAAAGCTAAGTACACACAAATACACAAATATATGTATATATATATATATATATATATATATATATATATATATATATATATATATATATTAGGTTGACCGGAAAGTAATGTCGTATTTTTACGTCAAATTAAAACAAATAATTTTTTTATAATATTTATTTTTAATCAATGATATAATCACCCTCATTTTCCACAACCTTTTGCCATCGAGCGGGCAAACTTTCTATACCAGGTTGAAAAAAATGTATTGGTTTGTCATTAAAATATCTGGAGATGCCATTTTTTAAGCAGTACAAAGTTTGAAATTTTTTGTCACTTAGAAAGTGCTGTAAGGATCGGAACAAATGAAAATCTGAAGGAGCGATATCAGGTGAATATGGAGGGTGGGGCAGCACCTCCCATCCCAATTCATTAATTTTTTCTAGCGTCCGTCGTGCACAGTGCGGCCTTGCATTGTCATGTTGAAGAATGACACCTTTTCTGTTGACGATAGCCGGGTAATTCTCAACTAGAGCTTGGTTCACTCGATCCAATTGTTGACAATAAAGGTCCGCATTAACAGTTTGTCCAGGAATAAGCACTTCAAAGTGGACGATTCCGCGGATGCTCCACCAAACACACAGGAGCGCCTTCTTGGGGTGTAATCCTGGCTTTGCAGTACTGCGTGCTGGTTCATTTGGGGAGAGCCACTGCCTTTTGCGTTTTGGATTATCGTATAGGACCCATTTTTCATCTCCAGTGACCAAACGATCAAGAAACGGTTCTGCATGGTGCCGTTGAATCAATGCATTGCACGTGGTTGATCTGTTGGCTTTGTTTTGCACTGACAAGTTATGGGGGACCCAAACACCTGCTCTGCTGATTTTTCCTATCTGGTGTAAATGTTCTTGGATGGTCGACCAAGGTTGATTAAGGGTGTTCGACAATTCTTCGATGGTTTGGCATGGATTTGCTTCAACTTCTGCCCTTAGAACGTCGTTGTCTAATGACATTGGTCTTCCTGGTCGATGGGCGTCAGAAAGATCAAAATTCCCAGATCTAAACTTGGAAAACCATCTTTGGCATTTGCGAACATCTAATGAACCTGGGTAAACATCACTAATGTTCTTAGTCGCAACTGTAGCGTTATTACCCTTGCGAAATTCAAAAAGCATACAATGATGAATATGTACTTCCTGTATTTTGTATGCCATTTCACTCCAATTTGCAAAGAAAACTATTTAATTTTAAATAATTTTGAAGTAAACAAGTCACACTAATATAAAAATAACCTGTGCACGTGTTCGAGATACACAATAAACTGGCCAACGATTATCGAATGTCAACATGCGCAAAAACGACATTACTTTCCGGTCAACCTAATATATATATATATATATATATATATATATATATATATACACATGTATATGTATATATATGTATATGTATATGTATATGTATATGTATATGTATATGTATATATATATATATATATATATATATATATATATATATATATATATATATATATATATATATATATATATATATATATAGGCCTCGGCAGGAAGAAATGAGTGCAAGAGCAGTGAAAAGCTCTCCTAAAACGGATATGGCGAGCTATGCGAGCAACTAATTTACATACTCTCATACATGATGTCTACATTGAAAAAAAAAAATTATATATATATATATATATATATATATATATATATATATATATATATATATATATATACATACATACAGGCTTGGCCAGTAAGGCATGGGATTTCACATCATAATATGACCATGCAAATACTAATTGATTTTGAAAACTTGACCACAGCTGTTAACATGTTTCGAATATCTTAATTTAACTATAAAAAAACTTTAAAAAAAGACTTATCGTAAAAGAAGCAAATAAATCTTTGTAAAAAAATATAACTAAAATTAAAATAAAAATAACTTAACTTTTTAAGTTATTTTTAAGATTTAAGAGAATATCTTGTTGCTGTTGTTACTGTTTTATGTTAATAGTTGATTTGAAAAAATATTTTGTTATTTCTTTTTATGTTAATGGTTAATTTTAAAAAACAACTTTGTTGTTATTAGATTTATCAGCATTGTTAAACAAATTTTCATAAAGTTCTAAATTGTTTCATGATTTTAGAGTTCTTGCAGGTCCATATTGTACAATGATTCTTGGAGATATGGGTGCCGAAGTGATAAAGGTTGAAAGACCTGGTAATATTATTTGTATATAATCAATAGAAATAATAGATTACAAGTTTTTATCATGGTTAGAATGCTTTAAATCAGTGTTAAACACAAGACTAAGGTATCCTAGTCCAAAATATTTCATCAGTAATGAGAAACATAACTGACATGATTAGATAAATGAGTAATGAGATAGCTAGAGAGAAAAACAACTAGACAATTCAGAACCTAAATTAAGCTCAAATAATTTGATTAAGGTCAGAAGACAATGTGCTAGAAAAAAATATTTTTTTGTTTCAGTATTATTGACTAATAAAATAAAGAAGTCACCAGAGTAATAGCATATATGAGATTACTATGGTAATTTTTTTGTTTTGTTAGTTAATATTTTTATAGTATTCCGTCAAAATTCAAACATCAAGATTTGACAAAAGTTTATAACTGCTCTATGTAGAGAAAACTTGTGCTCTATGTAGAGAAAAAATGGTCCTCATGAAATTGCGTTCAAAGAAGAAGAAGAAGTTCTAAACTAACTTTGTGTACTTTGTGTACTTTTTTTTTTACTCAGGTTCTTTTCTTTAATCTAACCAAAACTATTCTATTCAATATTTCAAAATTAGAATATTTAAATCAATATTTTTTTATTTTGTTTATTTTTATTTGTAATATTTTAGGTATTGGAGATGATACTCGTCATTTTGGACCACCTTATGTTGGTGGAGAAAGTTGTTATTACTTGGCTGTTAATAGAAACAAAAAGGTTCACGTTATAGTATTATTGTAAGTCTTGTCACAAAGTTGAATTTTTTTTTATGAGGCATTAAAAAGCCTCCTAAATAACTTTTCTCTTCGACTTTTTACTTACTGTCTTAAAATGAGGTATAATGTATGATAAATACTCAAAATAATCTATTATAACTTGACTAAGTATATAAATACTTGTAAATGTTTAATAGTCTCTTAAAACAAATTTCGAAATTATTTTCTAGGGTATGCATATATACCATTCTTGGTCAGGAATAAATTCACCTTATACATATTGAATGTCTTTTACATATCGAAGGCCTTCATTGCACTTCTATTTTCTTCCAGGAGTTATATTTTTTCATTTTCACATTTAAGACCAATTTTTTTCAGGTACTTTGCACTGTTTCTTTTTTAATTTAGAGTTGAATTGTGAAGTTGATTCTTTAAGAAAACAAAACACAGTTTAAATATGCACAAGTTTTTGTATATACATATTATTACTTTAAAATCATTTATTGGGTTAGGTAAAATATAAATAAAATGTGTTTTCATATTTCAAAAATAAAAGGTTATAATAAAGATGGTATGATTTATATAATAAATATGGTAGGATGTATATATATGAAATAATATATAAATATAGTATATATATATATATATATATATATATATATATATATATATATATATATATATATATATATATATATATATATATATATATATATGTATATATATATATATATATATATATATATATATATATATATATATATATATATATATATATATATATTATATTTATATATTATAATTACCAAGTGTAACAATTCAAATGAACACATTCAAATAAAACGTTAAATAAATTAATAACAAGCGATTTTAGCTAAGAAACCATAAAAATACTTTTCAATCATCTTTTTTTTCAAATTTTTACAGGGTGTTAGCCAAAAATATATTTTTTCAGCGTTTTTGTGACATTATGAATATTTATTGTTATTGTTCTATAAAATATTGCAAATTTTTATGGAAATTTTTATGGAAATTGTCCTATTACTTATCAAAAAAAGCCAGCCATACCCATTTATTATTTTTCTATTAAATTTAGCCTTACTTTTGTACTTGAGATCTGGAAAAACTTAATGACTCAAGAGTCATCATTCCAAACAACTGTAGAGTTTGACGAAGCAAAATAAGATTAGTCTAAAAAACTTTATATACAAGTATTCTCATTTTGGGAAATTGACAGCTCTTGGCTGCTCAGTTTGTTTGATTAGTGATTCCTTGTGACAATTGTTTTTTTTTTGACAAATGTTTTTTTTGATTTTCTTCTTCACAAGCTTTGAGTGTGTTTAGTTGAAATTTTGTATTTTTTGTTTCTTTTCTAATGATTTCTATGAGATTATTGTCAAAGTTAGCAACAAAATGGTTAAATATTTTGGACATAAATTTATAAGAATTTAAATTATATTTAGAGTATTGCTGTAGATTTTCATACAAAAGAAGGTGTTGAAATTATTCAAGAGGTTTTATGTTATTTTTATCATTATTTTTTTTATACTTATATGCTTTTTTATTTATTTATTTTTTGTTTTTGAATAATTCTTTTGTTATTTTTTAGTTAGCTAAAACTAGCGATGTTTTTATTGAAAACTACATATACGGAAAGTTAGATGCAGTTGGTCTTGGTTATGAAACACTCAAAGCAATTAATCCAAGATTGATTTATTGCTCAATTACAGGCTATGGATCTCGTGGCTTGTTATCTGACATTGTTAAACCAGGGTATGACCTTGTTGCAAGTTCTATTGGTGGCTTAAATGCAGTCACTGGACCTGAGGTAAGAATTGAGGATTTCGTTGTTTATAATGCTCAATTTTTCTTAGTTAATTTGTTGTTGTCGAACAACTTATTACAAAACTTATCTACCTTCTGAAATATTAGTAAAAAAGTGAAACTTAAAAAGTTGTTAATTGAACATTATTGTTAATTAAATATATTGACAAAATAACCTCATAATTTTACTACTTAAATTTTATATATATATATATATATATATATATATATATATATATATACATATATATATATATATATATATATATATATATATATATATATATATATATATATATATATATATATATATATATAAAATTTGCAAAAAATAGTACATGCAAAAAATTTAGCGCCTCTAATGGTAGGTTTAATTATGGATGGCGCTAATGTTGGAGACATAGTGTTCGGCACTGGACCGAGTGTTCAGCAACAGCTAAAAAGTAGGTGCAACAATTTTCTCACTTACACACATTGTTTGTCGCACCGATTGCAGCTGTCACTGAAAGATGCAGCCAGCACTTCAAAGGAACTCCAAACTCTGCAGCTATTTTGTGAGCAACTCTTCATTTTTCATCGAAATTCTACTGTTATATCAGCGGTTTATTGTAACGCATGCAAGGTTTATGAAGTAAAAGGTATTTTAAGAATTAAATCTTGTTATATTGATAATATCTTAACGTACTTTTACTTATTATTTTTAGGTAATATTAACAATCAAAATTTATATTAATTAATTTAGCCAATTTTATATTTATTTAATTTAGTATTTTAATTTTTAGGCCAAATGCAGTGTCATACGAGTTAATGGTACCAGATGGGTTGCGCATATGGTACATGCGTTGGAAAATCTACTCAATGGTCTAAAAGCGCATATTCATAGTTATACCACTATCAGCTTGGAAAGCCACTACAGCGCAATACAGAAATCGAAGGCTAAGTTCTTTGCAAAGAAATTGGTTGATCAGCACTTAATGTCGATGGCGATCTATATTCTTGATGTGTGTAGAGCAATGACAATTTTTTCAGAGGCATTAGTAAGGTTTTTTCAGAATATTAATTCACCACAAACAAAAAGTTATAATCTTTATAAATAAACAACAAAAAAAGTATATATATAATTAGGTAATATGTGAGTTTATTGTAATATATACTAATATTATCGTTATTAAACCTTTTAGAAGTATAAACTTTGCGATATTAACATTCAATAATTTAAGTGAAATGTTTATAAAAGATAAAAACTTTATTATAAATAGATTTTGTCGCGCTCCTTTTTGAACTAGTTAATTTAAAGTCTATTAAAATTTTCTTGAAAGAACAAATTCATTCGAATTTTATAATTATATTTTGTTGCTCTTATACTTAGAGTTTTTTCAGAATTAAAAACTTTTTCTAAATTAATATTTCCTAAACAATCATTGATTAAAATTTAATTTTTCAAAATAAAATATAAAAATTATTATTATTTGTATATTGATAAAATACATAATTTGTCGCTGTAAGTTATATTTTGAATTAACAACTAAATTCAAATATTTAATTTCATATATAACTTAACTATATAGTATTTAATAAAAATACACTATTGCTTTTCAAATTAAAATGTTTATGTAACAAATAATAAATTGTTTACTTAGAAATTTAAGAATATACGCTCGAGCATGCCGTTTGCAATTTAGAAAGATTCGAAGAAAATCCAGACTCTGGTTTTTACTGGAAGAAGGGCTCGATATATGGGATTGTTAATTTGCATGAAGTGATAAAATATGAAGATCGAGTTTTTATTGCTACATCCATGAAAAAGTGCATTTTGAAACGATGTTCAAAGGTATCAGATGTCTTTGCGGAGGCGGACGAGTTTCTTAACACAGTTGAATGGACGGAGAGCGACTTTTTCACGGCTGAAAACAACAAAAAGTTACATAAAAACATGCTAGACAATAACATAAAAGCCCTTATTGACGACGATATGCTGTGTCAACAACTTGAATATAAACAAGTAGATGTTGGAAATATTTTATCAGAGTGAATAGTATTGAAGAAAATAATGGCAACATGGACAAGTGCAAGTTCAAAATAATTTCCACCGCTATCTTGGTTTTCCACCGCTATCTATCACAAATAGCGACTAATATCAAACCAAATAGATTCGCTAATCTATTTCCTCTGATTGATTTTTTAATTTTTAAGACGCGAAAAAAGGCTTTAGCACAATGAAAAACATTAAATCAATTCAAAGAACACAACTCAGTAACAATTATTAACTATGCGATTGCGCATCAAGATTGATGGTCCAGAAATGGAATTATACGATCCAACAAAAGCCATTAAACACTGGCTTCAATCACGAAAAAATAAAACTAGTATCAATCAAAAAAGCTTTACATGGAAAACAAAACTCCAGTTGTGTCAGTTAAAAAGTCAAAGAAAATACAGATTTTTGCTAGTAGCTATGATGACAGTGATAGAGCTGTAACAATTGATGATGATATATAATAATTTTGAGTCTTGAATGTTGTTTACCTTTCAAAATATAAATAGTTTTTCTTGTAACAAATAAGATCGTAATAATTACATCACATTAAAAGCAAAGGGTTTTAAAGTATTTGTAAATTATTTTTTATATTTGTCAAGAGTTTTTTGTTGTAATCGAATGTCTATTTTTTTATAAAATGAGCGCTCAAATAAAGTTTAAAAATAATGGCATGTGTTTTTTTTTGAAAGTAGAAAAGTGAATTTTATCAATAGTTTTCAATATTACTTTTATTTGCGCATATTGTTTCTAGTGCACATTTAGCCATATAACAAAAAATGACTAAAACATGCGAGAACTTCGCTAAGTGGAAATTTTTTTAAAAAAAAATGGCAACGGGCGACTCAAAACGTCGGCGGGCGATCAAAATTAACAAACTGGTTAGTTTCAGTCGCCCTTCTGGCGACTGACCAAAAGTCTGAGTGTACACCCCAGTATATATATATATATATATATATATATATATATATATATATATATATATATATATATATATATATATATATATATATATATATATTGTACATTTTAACTTATTCAAAATATTGGTTAAGTAACACATTTGAGTTTGCCGACCTCGTTTCTATGTTTTATGGTCAGAGCTTTGTATCAAATAATTTTTGCCGACCTGATACCAAGCTCAAAAAGATTGAGGTCGGCAAATTATTGCCGACCTCATTCCGAGGTTTGCACATGTTACATTTTTTTTTAAAGACATAGTTTTTAAAAAAAATACAACAATACAGATAAGTAACAAAATAAATAATTTCATTGAAAATGTTATATTATTTTTTTATAATTATTGTTGTGTTATACAAATGCGTTTACATCTTAATACATTTAAATTAATTTTTTTTTTTAATTAATGTTGCCATAACATTGTTGCTATAAAACTGTTGCTATAACATTGTTGCTATAACATTGTTGCCATAACTTTGATGCTATAACATTGTTGCTATAACGTTTTGCTATAAAATTGTTGCTATAACATTGTTGCTATAACATTGTTTCTATAACATTGTTACTATAACATTGTTGCTATAAAATTGATGTTATAACATTGTTGCTATAACTTTGATGCTATAACATTGTTGCTATAACTTTTTGCTATAACATTGTTGCTATAACTTTGATGTTATAACATTATTGCTATAACTTTTTGCTCTAACTTTATAAATAATTGTATATAATTACATTCACCCCTATTGTAATTAAAAATAGATGCATGAAAGAAGTTTGTTTATTAGTCAGTGTGGCTGCAGTCACTGTGGCTACACATATTTTTGTTGATACTCTACGAAAAAATATCGATAGCGGAAAAATGGTTGTTTCAGTATTTATCAATCTTTCAAAAGCGTTCGACACTATTAGCTACAATATACTCCTCTCTAAGTTAACTACATACGGCATTGAAGTTGCTGAGTTAGAGTGGTTTAAATGTTACTTATTTGGTCATTACCAACTTGTCAAGTATCTCGATGAGCTATCTGATAAACAACCGGTGACTTGTGGGGTGGCTTAAGGCTCTATTCTTGGTCCATTATTATTTTAAATTTATTTTAATAACTTTAATGAATGTCTAAATCACTCCGATCACATTGAATTTGCAGACAATGTAGTGATGTCAGCAATAATTTTAGTACCATCATATGAATGACAATTTAAACTCAATTTCAATATGTTTTGAAGAAAATGATTTAGTCTTAAACCTAAGTAGTGGTAAAACACAATCTGTGCTATTTGGCACGCCTAAGCGATTGTCAACTTTTCCAAAAAATCTAGATTTGATTTTCAACAATACAAAAATACCATCAAGTAACACTTATAAATATATAGGAGTAATTATAGACAGCCACCTTAATTTAACCCCAAAATTTCAATAACTCGTTTAAAAAGGCAGCTTCCAGTCTTTACTTGATGAAGAAGATGCGTCATCTGCTGACAATAGATGAAGCAAAAAATATTTATATCTCCATGATAATTCCAATAATAACATATTGTGGAATGTAAGTTTAAAGAAAACTAGCAACCAAATAAATAAAATCATCAAATTAAAAGCTAGAGCTGTTGCAATAGTTTTGAACACTCATATTATTAACATAGTCACTGTTCCATCAATAGACGAAACTCTTAGAAAAAGAACTTACATATTAGTATATAAATGTTTTCATGGGACCATGTGTTGCAATTTCAAAAACTATTTTACATTACAAAAACACTCAAAACAAACATGCAACAATAATCTTTCTGTTGTTATAGATAAAAAAAAAGGCAAAACATAACTTTATTTAAATCACTTTTATAAAATTTGTTAATGTTATTTATATTTATATTTTATACTTTTAGTCATATATTTTTAATGTTTTAATTTTAATTTTTATTCAGGACATATTTTATTCAGTTTTTTTATATAACTGAATTATATATTCTGTTAAAATATTCATTTAAATAAAAATAAAAAAACCATCATTTTGTAAGAAATGAAAAATTAAGAAAAAATGCAAAAGTAACAATGTATTAACATTGACTTAACTTATAACACAAATTCTTATCAAAACAACAATTTTTATTTGCCAATTGTTTTTAGATGCTCCTTGATATAGCTAAGTAGAGTTGTTTTCTCTCTCTTTTTTTTTTTTTTTTAATGCAGCTTAAACAAAAAAAAACTAGTTATCTAAACTAGGTTAAATAACTTACATAATCTAGAGGTCCAGCAGAATGCAGTTTTAGTAAAAGCTTTTATAATAGACATTGCTAAATTTGCATAAACTGTTTTTGATGGATACCTAAAATTTAAAAAGCTTAATTCCCACCCCTAGATATCTATTTTTATCAGTATAAAAATTTTCAACAAAATTAAAAGTATTTAAATCTAATCTCATGTTTTTTGGGTAAAAAATGTGATTACTAACAAATATTTTAAAAATTGAATTGTTTTAAATACTAGCGTGTTCAAACCAAATCAAAAAAGTCCATTTTGAAACAATTTGTAATATTTCCAGGACTAAAATGAATATTTTAACAGCTAAAAAATTGTTTTTAAAATGTTGTTACCTCATTCCAAACTCGTTTGCCTAATTTGATATTTTCAGTTTTCAAAAATAAATAGTTAAAGCATTATTCTAAGTTTCTGTGTTTGATATGTTTTTCATAATGCTATTTGTTTAAAAGATTCATAATTATGCGACATAAATAATGTGACATTTATCATTATTGAACTCCTAGAACCAAGAAGAAGTTTTATATTAGAGTTATTATATTAGGTTATTTATCGTTCTTCTCAGTTAGTTACCATTTTTCTAAGTTAATTATTATTCTTTTAAGTTAGTTACCATTCTTCTAAGTTAGTTACCATAACTAAGATTCATTACGTCTAACTTAACTACAATTTGTTGTTTTTATTTCAAATCTTATTATATGCATGCTTCAAGAGTATGAATCCTTTCATCCTGTACTTAATTATCATTTCCATAGTCTCATATTCATAAAGACTAACTAGCTGTCAAGTGCTCATTTAGCAATTTAGGAGCATTTTTAAAAAAGAAGAACTGTTTGCAGAAACTAAAAGCAGTGCTTATAATTTAAAATATACAGTTATTTACAATTTTTTTAAATTAAAATTTTGATATCTATTCAAAGTGGAGTATGAAACATGAAGTATGTAGAACATGGTTATCACTTAAATTAGTTTGATTGGCTGAACAAAGAATATCTTTGATTGTGAAATCTGGTAGTGAACATTATACTTGCCTAAAATCTGTGTATTGCACATAAGGCATAAAAAATAATTCATTTAAACTATATATATATATATATAATGTTATACTTTCAAAGTTATTAAAAATACACATACATTTGTGTGCGTAAATATAGTAATAAATACGTATTGTTTTTACAGTAAAAACGTATTAGAAAATGTTAAACAATATTATAACTGTTTATAACACAGTATGTTTGTGTCTTGGTGAGTTTTTGTCTAAAGAACAACATTAAGATTGCAGTATTTGTTAACATCTTTTTAGTGAAAAAATATGAAACCTAACTATGACGGAAAATCCGGTCAATGTGCAAAACTTGGTCCGTAATTGCTCGTAAAATCATAAAGAATTGTTTCACATAATTTTCTGAACCAATGCACACTCAAATTTTAAAATTTGGTAAAGGCATTATAATTCATAAACATGATGTAATTTACTTACATATTCAGTTCTGAAAGGGACATTTCCATCAAAGTATAACATTTGACATCAAAGTATGATGTAGAAACAATTAATTTCAAACAGAATAACTCCTTCAAAAATATCATGCATCATCACTCCTTCATTAGAAACAGAAAGAAGCAGAAATTCCTTTGTTATAATCATTAGAAGTAAGAAGAAGCAGAAACTCCTTTTTTAAAGTTATTAAAAGCAGGTTGAAGCAGAAACTCCTTTATTAGAATCATTAGAAGCAGGAGTAATATATCACTTCAGCTAAAAAACTGTTTGATTCCATAATTCTTGTTAAAGATTACTCTTCTTGCATGTGCTTAACTTAAGAGTTGTATAAAATATATATTTTCTTTAAAAATCTCCTGTATAAATATGAATTTGTTTATTCAGAAGTTAGAAATTTATATTAAATATTTAATAAAATATAAAAATTTATCAGGCACTACTATGTTGACAGCTTAAAAACATGCTGTGTCCATTATTTGTTCTTTTTCCATCAATGTGATCTTTGAAGGCGTTTACCGAGACTGCATAGGCTGCATTTGACAGAAATGTGTTCCATGCATTTACTATGCGGTTAGTGACAAAATGCTTCCACTCTTCGCAATTTTTGACTACTTGCTTAGTTAATCCTTGGTTGTGCCCTCGTAGGCAATAATCGTTTATACCATACACATGTCCTATACAAACTATTTATGAATACCTGTTTTTGATTTAAGAGGATTTGTGATTTCTACTTCAAAGTATATTTGAATAAAAAATGTGAAACAAGGTGGAACACTTATGAAATTTTAACCATTTTAACCACAAGACCAATGCTCAGCTAATTCTAAATTAGATATGAGCTTCACTTTTAGCATACATATGGCTTCTGGGTAAACCAATCAAGCTTTATTGTGCTTTCAATAGATATTTAGTAAAACAAATCTTTTATTTCGAATTTGGATTTGCTTTTTGGTTTTTAGTTTCTTTTGTATCACATCTTTCAATTATCAAGTTATACATCTCATCTTTCACTCATCAGGAGTTGAGATTTTACTAATAATTATAAAATAAATAGAATTTTACAATTTATGTTTTTAAGTTTAATTAATACTTATTTCAAACTGGTATGATCTTTATTTAAATGCTTTTCTTAAATCTTGTATGTAGTACACAAACATTACAATACAGTTGAAAAAATAAATAATGAACCTTGAATTACTTTTTAACAACCATTTAAGAACTGTTGCTCTTTGCATCAACCATTTAAGAACTTCAAGTTCTTAAATGGTTGATGCAAAGAGCAACAGTTAAGAAATATTCGGAATAAAGGTAACAACACAGCAATATTCTTTAAAAAAAGTTCATGTACATTTTAGTACGAAACTCCCCTTTTCTGAAGCTTTTTATTTAAGCTTTTAATTCAATAAAATGCCTTTACATCAATAATTTCACTTTCATTTATTAAATATTATATTAAAAATTTGAATATAATGAAAGGTAAAAATAAGTTTTAAAACTAAAATTTATATGTAGAAAATACTTAACAATATTCAACTGAAACTTTTGGAAAAAATACTTAAAAATATTCAACTGAAACTTTTAGAAAAAATATTCAACTGAAACTTTTAGAAAAAATACTTAAAAGTATTTTTTTGTAATTTGTGATATAAAATGTGTTTACTTTACTCAATAACTTAAAGAACAATAATACCTCAAAAGTACTCACACATATATCCCCACTATTATATTTTATAAAGCACACATTCCCACTATTATATTTTTCATACACACACACACACACACACACACAGATATATATATATATATATATATATATATATATATATATATATATATATATATATATATATATATATATATATATATATATATATATATATATATATATATATATGTTAACAATATCTATACATATTTTGGCTAACATATATCATCAGGAGAGTGCTCGCTGAACTAAAGTAAATTAAATAAATTAATATGTTTACATATATAAAAATATATATCTATATTATGTATTATATATAACATACATGTTATGTATATATTATGTATTATATATAACATACATATTATGTATTATATACAGCATACATATTATGTATCATATATAACGTACATATTATGTATTATATATAACATACATATTATGTAATTTATATAACATACATATTATGTATCATATATAACATACATATTATGTATTGTATATAACATACATATTATGTATTATATAAAGCATACATACTATATATTATGTATAACGTACATATTATGTATTATATATAACATACATATTATGTATATATGGATTTTCAATTACTCCTATAAAGATTCATTACTTTCCTGAAATTTAGGATGGAGAGCCATGTCGAGTAGGGGTTGCAGTGACTGATATTATGACAGGCATGTATGCACATGGAGCTATTCTTGCAGCACTTTATCAAAGAGAGATAACTAAGTTGGGCACTAAAATTGATACCTCACTATTGCAAACACAGGTTTTAATTTTTTTAACTTTTTAAACGTATATAAAAAGTTAAAATAATGTAACAATGAAAATAAAAGTAAAAATAAAAATAAAAATAATGATGAATAATAAAACGAACTTAATAAAAATTGTTACAGTTTATTTGTGTAAAAAAGTTTATTTAATTTATATTGAGTAAAAAAAAAAAAAAAACAGTTGACAGACATTATATTTTCCATTGTTCAAGTTTCTGTTGATAAAGTTATTTTTCACTAAAAAGTCAAGTCTAAAGTTTAACCATAAAACCTTGTTGTCTGGAAAACATTCCTGTAACAGTCTCAAAAAACTTTAAATTTCTCTTTATCATATTGTTTCAATGACATTTCTTGTAGCACTTGATAATTTAATACAGTTAAGTACTAATTTTTAATTTATTTATGTTTTACTCTTTATTATTTACTCTTTATTGTAATATGTTAAGTCTTAACTATTTAACAAGCTGCTAGAAAATTCAATTTTTTTAAGTTCTAAAGGTTAGTGTGACCTTTCTAACTATTGAACAATTAGTTTTTATACTATTATTAGCAAGGTCTTTAATAACCAAGCTTCCATCATCTCATTTTGAGTCCAACAACTTGTTCTCCTACTCAATATTTTGATCAAATTGTTCTACTGCTAACTTTTAAACTTTTATAACAGAAAGGTTTTATCATGTAATAAATGAAGCAATGAGATAAGAGCTATTACTCTAGACATATCAAAGACATAATAAAGTCTAACATCCTAGTCTTCATAAACTTCTTTGATGTGAAATTTTTTATAAACTATTGGTTTATTCTTTTTAACTGCTGTTATAAAGTTGTCCTCTAAGTTACCAGTCAGCAAAAAAATGCCATGTTTTAATTGCTTAGCACAAGCGACCATGAATTTAATTTTTGAAATCTTTTCTGTAAATGTTTAAAGCTTACAGTGACTGTTAAGTTTTAACCTAATAAAAACATTTTTTTTTCTGGTAATAGTTGCATGTTGTATATATGGATGAATGGCAATACTCTTACAGGCTTTTGCCGGATATAAATAATGGAAAATTTTCATAATTTTTCTAGGTCGCTGTAATGAGTCATATTGGTTCAGATTTTTTAAATGCTGGTGTTAAAGCTCCTCGTTATGGAACAGGTCATCGAGCAATTGTTCCTTATCAAGCGTTTGAAGCTGGGGATGGTCAAATGTTTGTCATTGGAGTAGCAAATGATAATTTGTTTCAAAAGTTTTGTTTGGTAATTTGAATCAGCGGTTTATTTGTTTAATTTTTATTTTTAGTGTAAAGATATTTTTTTGATGTATTTTGTTATTGGTTTTTACTTCAGTGAATTTTTTGTTTGAATTAAATTTTTAATTTATGTTAATAATAATTATATGTATATATATATATATAAATATATATGTATATATATATATATGTATATATATATATATATATATATATATATATATATATATATATATATATGTGTGTGTGTGTGTGTATATATATATATATATATATATATATATATATATATATATATATATATATATATATATATATATATATATATATATATATATATTTATGTATATATATATATATATATATATATATATATATATATATATATATATATATATATATATATATATATATATATATATATATATGTTTAATAATAATTAACAGAAAAGCAAGAACTTTTTTAAACTTATTATTGGTTTTAAATTCTTGGTTTAAAAATCTTGTCGTCTTTATATTTATACACATTTATTGAACATCTTTATATTTGCATATTTATTGAACATCTTTAGATTTGCACATTTATTGAACATCTTTAGGTTTTGTATTTTTAATTATCTTATCTTGATCGTCATAACAATAAAAATAAAATTGTTAATTTCCAATTGGAAGGCAAATCAACAATTTTATTTAATATAGTTAACTATATTGATGAAAATTTGACACAATGACCTAGTGTCACACCAAAAACATTTTCTTTTATCTTTATCAATTTATTTATGTTATATTATATTTGATTATTATAATTGTTATATTAGATTTATTTTTTATTACTCATGATCATTTAAGCTATTTTGGGTAGTTTAATGTGAGCGCAATTTTTTTATGTAAATTGTTAATTTTTATTTTATTCCAGGCAATGGATTTATCATTACTTTTAAATGATGAACGCTTCAAGTCAAATAAATATCGCGTGATACATAGAAATGAACTTATTCCAATTATATCAGAAAAGTATATTAATTTTTTTTTTTTTTGTTTACTCTTTTATTATAGGCTTTTTTTATTTAATTGTTAGTTTTTTTTCTCAGAATAAAAACAAAACCTGCAGACTACTGGATTACAGCGTTAGAAAATGCCGGTGTTCCTTGTGGATCAATTAATGATATTGAACAAGTTTTTAAAATACCTCAGGTAAAAGAGCTAGATTTGATACAAGAATTGTTACACCCAACTGCTGGTTTAATTAAAATATGCGGTAAGTAATGTTAATATATTAATGTATTTACCATAAAAAATTTATTGTTCTTGAAAATAAAATATGATGTATTTTTCTTTTGAAATTCAATGCCATTCTGACTCCATGACAGACTAAAGTCTGTCATAAAGTCAGTGACAAAAATGTAAATACAGTGAGTGAATTGAAATAAAAAAATGTTGCTTATGCAACTGTAAGAAAACAAATGTTGATTTCTAATGATAGGCTTACAATTTTTATTTGATTTTATATATATACATACATACATACATACATACATACATACATACATACATACATACATACATACATACACACACACATACACACATACATACATACATACATACATACATACATACATACATACATACATACATACATACATACATACATACATACATACACACACATACATATTAGAGATGGTAATCCCGGGATCCCGAAATCCCGGGATTTCGTACAAATTGTTCATCACGAAATCACGAGATTAGTCTCCAAAATTTTTCAGGATTTCGGAATCGTAAAAAAAAGTAAATATTTATAAAGTTTAAACTTATAATTGCAATCAAGTAATTTGTACATCGTCTTTGGTATAGTAGCTGTTTGGTTGTGTAACTATTTATTCTCTTAGCAACATTGTATATTAATGTTATATTATATTATACTATATATGTATATATATATATATATATATATATATGTATATATATATATATATATATATATATATATATATATATATATATATATATATATATATATATATATACATATATATATATATATATATATATATATATATATATATATATATATATATATATATACGTGATTATTTTTCCCTTTCCTATCTCGTTCCCATAGAAAAACGGATGAGTGGAAACTCACCTTTAAGCTGCATTTTATTGTCGTCGAAATGTCAAAACAATTAAATTAATGCGGAAGTACATTAAATTTTATAGTTTTTTAAAAAAACCGCAATAATAATGACTAGAAAGTTTTTTTTAACTAGTGGTGTTTTATTAAAAAACATTTTTAAAACATGCGTAAGTGCTACATCGACTATCTTATAGCCAGCTGCTAAAAGGGAGTGTTGTATATATATATATTATATATATATATATATATATATATATATATATATATATATATATATATATATATATATATATATATATATATATATATAGAGAGAGAGAGAGAGAGAGAGAGAGAGAGAGTGAGAGAATGGGAAAGGGAAATCAGAATGGTTTTGAAAAAAAATTGCTAAAAAATACGAATTAATATTGAAATTTTTTGATTGATACATTTTTTTGGGAGTAATTTCGAAAATTAATTTTAAGGAAATAAATCAAAGAAAAAAAATCAAAATTCATTTAGAAGGAATAATGTCGAAAATGCCTATAAAAATAATATCAAAATTTGGATTTAGGAATAGTATCAAAACACTAGCAAAGAGATAGAACATGCAAGGAGTGACGCTACATCGACTGACAAACAGGTAGAAGATGCAGGAGTGCTACTACATTGACTGAGAGTTTGGTTTTGGGCAGGCAGTCTATCAATTAAAAATCACAATTTCAGTTTATTCTCTATTTTGATATTATTCAGAAAATCCCCTTTTTGAACTTATTTTTTGAGCTATTTTGATCTTATTCTGCTTTTCGTATTTTAGATAAAATTCTTTTTTTTAATATTTCAGTTTTATTCTCTATTTTGATATTATTCCGGAAAGTCCTTTTTCGAATTTATTCAATTTGGCTGTTAATACTCTTTCTACTACCCATAAAGAACCTGTATATGTTGGACAAAAATTTAACTTATTTTGTTGATATGAAAAAATATTAAAAAACAAAACCGAAATTTTTTTTTTTGTAAATAAAAAGATTGTCTGCTTTAGTCAAACCCTTAGTCAATGTAGCACTCTTCAAATGTTCTGCCTATTTCCAAGTCGATGTAGCAGCACTCCTTGCACATTCTATTTGTCATTCGATGTAGCCGCATTCCTTGGGTGTTTTACCTATTTATCAATCGATGCAGTAGCTCTTCTCGTATGTTCTATCTATTTGTCAGTCGATGTATGCAGACTAAAAAAAAATGAAACAAATAAAAATAAGAAATAAAAACAGTATTAAACATTTAAAAAATAAAAACAGGCACATTCTGCATTTAAAAAATGAATTGTTCTAGTCAATAGTTCTAGTAATTTTTTTTATTTCAAATATCAATTAACGCCGTTGTAGGCGATGGTAACAAATTTACTGTTTAAACAGTCAATACTGTTTGTTAAAATCTGTCCGTAATACTCTATTAAAAAGCTTGAATTAATAAGTCTAACAGCTTCTTTG